AGAGCAATGGACTGAAACTTAAGCGCATGAACATGTTTATGGCTGTTATACACCACGTGTTGGTGATCTCTGGGTCTGCAAATTGGCCGGACAGTTCCATTGATAACACGGAAGCAATTGTTCAATGCTCCTCCCTATAATGAGACTGTATCAGCATATATTTGAAGCTGTGCCAGTCGCAGAATAGCTTGGTTCCATTGTAGTATTCTGTGACTGTGGGTGGTAAAAATATAATCCAGCACAGCATTTATGACCATGCTCATAACAGGCATCGGCTAACCAAAGCGTACTATCATATCTGAGTATCTGCAGGGGTATGAAAGTCATCGGAGCAGCATACAGAGTCCCTCCATTCCATCGGCTACTGACCGCTGATGGCACACAAACTGATTTGGTATTTGCAAGGCAGTAGCTAGGTCTGGAAGGTCGTGTTTCTTGACTCTAAACTCAGCCAAACACTCTGAATCGTCCATCTTGTCCAGGTCAAATCGGCCGTAGTGTTCGTAAGGAAAGTCAAGATTTTACGATGTGTGTAGATCCCACAACAACAGAAATTCACCCTCATCTACGATGTCCTCAAAGCATGCAACAGCTAGAAGGTTTTGGACTTCTTGAAAAGTTGCCATTATGCTCGTAAATCCACAAACAAAGTCAAATTGGACCACTGAAAACGAAAGCAAAACAGCCATCGCTCTCCGCCGCTTCTACGAAAGCTTAATATTCTAATTTCACGCCAAGAGGAGGCGGCCTCAACCCAACTCCCGCACAGCCATTGCCACCTCCACCTAACTGCCTCAAGTGTTTGCTTAAGGTCTCTAATAAGTGAACACTATGGTGCAACAGACTTTAATTTTCAGTGTGAACTGAATAACAATCTAAGATGTTTCCAATGTCTCCAAGAGTGTGTTAATAGTTAAAACGAGCATATAATTACCTCAACTGATTAGAGAAATCATCTTCAACAGTATCATCATCCCAGTTGTCTTCCCACACATGCATGTCAGCCTGGTCTTCATCTACAGCTGTCCATTCTAGTACCAAACCATCAGTTTGATAACATGTTTAATAAACGAAAATATTTGAGTTAATAATCTATCAAATATTTGCGCTTGCGCATGATTGGTCTAAATGCCTCACATGACTGAATATCTGAGTGATATTCCCCATCTGCATGTGCTGCGAAAAATATTTGAAGGATAACAAATACAATAACCTCCATTTGGCGCGAAAATGTGCTTGGATATTTGACTTTGCACATAATCTGTTCCTAAAAGCTTACAGTTTTCTGAGAGCATTGCTGGAGGAAAACTGTTTGCTTCTCGAAACAGATACTGTCCATGGACAAATATCCAAGCATATTTTTGGGCTAAATGAGGGCTATTGTTTATGTTTGTTAGCAAAATAGATAGCCTGTGAGCAGTTCCTTTTGCTTGAAAAACCGCTGGGAAGAACACAAATATTGAGCTTAAGAGACGGCGTGTTTAAAACGCAAAATGGTGAAATATATGGCACTACCGTTAGCCTAAATAGTGGTCTGGTTAGCCTAAATAGCACTCAGGTTAGCCTAAATATGAAGGCAATATGACCGACTTGATTGTAACGGTAACCCTGACAGAAACCCATATCCCACATTGACTGTTGCCTGTAGTGCCCACATGCCCCTGATGAGCATGATATTACTTCAATATGCTGCTCATTTGCTCATTTTTTTCCCACCTTGAAAGCAAAGCCTTTTCCTACTGTATTTTTTTAATATTCCTCATGGATTTCAGAGCAAAAGAGAGTTTACTAATAAAGAAAGCTTGAATTTCAGAAAACATTATCAGCCAACTTAAAACTAATTCCAGAGGTTAAACATACTCCACTAATCATTAATTTTTGCTGTTGTATAAGCCAAAGCTTCAGTTTAAGGTGATTGGATTAACGATTCGTCTGCCTGTAAAAAAAAAACCGACAAGAAAACCTCTACCAATATAAGCTTACTGTAGATAGCTAGACACCAGGTCTGTTTTCTGAGCTGTACAAGAAGAACTTGACCCTTACAGTTTTAAACGGATACCTCATCTAGTTTGATCCGTCTTCTTTTCAGGTGTAAAAACCAATTATTCCTTTCGCTGAATATTGCAAATTCCTGGCTTCAATAAACATGTGACAGTTCAAGCTACAATATTTCTTAATATATATAAGACTTTTAAAATAAGTTATCTAGACCCATGCGGTATTTTCAAACTATAACTCTCAATCAGGAACAAAGGTGTTATACCTTCGGCGGGAAACTCCTCAAACTCGTCGTCTTCTTCCAATAATCCCAAATCAGTCTTTTTCGCTGTCCCCGCCATCTTGGATTGAACTGGTGATCGATCGCTTCGTCATTATGAGGTCAGCGGATTAATGGCACCACAGGCTCACAAATACACGACGACTACGACGACCACAAGTTTACCATTCTCCTTACTAGAGTAGTCCGATTTGGGCGTGAAAGTAAACACTAACTGGAAGAGCCTAATGCGGAGGGAAAAAAAGTGTTATTGTTTTATTAGCGCTATTGAGAAATGTCACAGTTTTAGGCTTGGTGTACATATATCTATTTAACAAATAGATTCCATGTTGCCGTAGTTTGTTGCCGTGCGTCTGTTCAGTGTTAGGATAAATGTAATAGCGTTCTATCACGAATGCCGCTCTCTGATTGGCTGCGCTACTCACTATCTATTTAACAATTAGATTATGTAAAGTATATATGAAGTAATTTATATTTGAGCTGCGGATGTAGATGAAAGTGAAGAATGATCAGCGCAGTAAATTTTCCAATTAAATTAATTAATTCCAATGGAAAATTTACTGCGATGATCATTCGTCACTTCCTTTAACAATTAGATTCTGAGCTCGAGATTTCTATGAGGTGATAGTTATCGCCTCATAGAAATCGAGAGCGAACAATCTAATTGTTTCAATTGAATTCTAGATGAAATTCCCTTCAAATAACGATTCCAATTATTTCTGGTCTTAGTATTAAACTTCTCGCTTTAGAGAATTCGAGCGGACTGAATTGTCAGTTTGGCATTGTGTACATGTACGCGCGCTTATCAGTTTCTTTCAAAAATTTCGAGCTTTGTTAATTCAAGAAACCGTGAATACCCTCCTTTTAGTCTTCTAAGAAATTCAATTATCTTCTTATTTCTAAACGTACTTTCAAAACTTCGGAGAAATGAGGAAACGTTGCAATTTTGCCGACCACACCAAGCCACTGCACACTCATGGATTACAGTGTGCAATGGCTTAGCCAATCAGATAACAGCATTTGCATTAGTATACTAGTAGAATTCTAGAGAATAAATGTGATACCGAGTAAATGCATTGTGACTATAATACTGGCAAAAAATGCAAGGAATCGTTGATATACTTGTAATATTTCGATTTAATTCTACATCATCTTCAGACTGAGGTGCCATACATGTAGCAGAAATTTAAATACTGCGAGATGGTACATTAACATTAGCACGTGAAAATACAAAACAAAGACGATACTATCAAGAAAATAGGCATATTACCCTACTGGCTTTTAAACCAGTGTTCAAGTATGGTGCTGAACACTTGATATGGTAAGCTTCTTTATATAGTAATGGATTCCAATTATCATCGCGGTCTATTATGTTTGTGTTAACACGCACGGTTTGGGTGAGAAATTCTTTGTTCATTGCAGTAGATGGTGGGTTGTTCTCATTGATAAAAATGTCCGGTAAGCTGTATAAACCTTGTATGTGTTTGATTCGATCACAATAGTGCAGATGTTTATATATAGCGCTTTCTTTGTCCGTGAGTACATGTTCTTGTGTGCAGACAAGCAGAGTTCTGTTCGTTTTGCCGATGTACGAAGAATTGCAACCGGGGCAAATGAATTCATATACAATATTTGATTGGCTTAATGGCCGCGTTTTGTCTTTAGTGCTTGTGAAGAAACATAATTTTGTGGTTTTCTGTTTTATTCGGATGTCCACATTCGGGTCGACGAGACATCTCCGAAACTTACGCTTAATTAAGCTTGTTAACAAACTGTTTTGTTAGGTCACCGTCGAATGGGATGGTAGGGCAGATAGTTGAATGCTGGTTGACCTGGTTGTTGTGGGAGGTGTCGTTGGTAATATGATCTGGAGCCCTGTTCTGTGCATTCGTAGTAAAGCGATCAATTAATAAGTTCGCAACACGTTTAGGAAAACCGTTCCACGATAAAAACTTTCTTATTAGCTTGAGCTCGGTTTTAATTTTGTTGGCAGTGCAGATTCGGTGTACGTGCTCAGTCAGTGCTCTAACTCAAGAAAGCATTTACTTGGTATCACATTTATTCTCTATCTCTTAAAACTATCAGCAGGCAATGGATTTTAGTAGAATTCTATAATTCCGTTTTAGTATAAATATACTAGCGTTCTATCGCGAATGCCGTTGTTTAATTGGCTACGCTACACACTATCTATTCTGTGATAGATAGTGAGTAGCGTAGAAGTGTGCCCTTGTTAACAAAATTACGGCCGCTTCTTGGCGTTTTCGAAGTGTCTGTGAAGAGGATTTAGATTTTAAGTTTTGAACGACTAGTATATTATACTAATCAAAACTATTAGATTATTCGCTCTCGATTTCTATCGCGCGATAGTTGACTCGGGCTCATAATCTAATTGTTTTAGTGAGTAGCGTAGCAGTGTGCGCTTGTTAGCAAAATGACAGCTGCTTCTTTGCGTTTTCGAGGTGACTGTGACAAAGATTTAGAAAAAAACTTGAATAAGGCGTAGTCAATCCATAAACCGATAATCGATATAAATCGATAGCAATCGATATCAATCTAAGATTGATTTCGATTGCCGATAGCAATCGATGAAAATCAATGAAGAAAAAAAGTTGTGTTTGTTACCGATTGCCGATAGTAATCGATAACGATAGTTATCGAACATTATTTTTGTCTTTTTACAAGTTACACTGATGAAACGTTTGACAAAATTTGTCTGTAATGGTTTTATTCAGTCATTTTATCATAGCCTGCGTATCTTAAACAATCAGCAACAAAATAACAAGAACAGAAACACTAACAGATACATTTTGGGCGTTGCATTTTTCTTTGCTAATTTACGACACCGGAAGAAGCTCAAGCCAGAGTAGCAGCCTTAAATCTCCAGTCTCCAGCAGATAAAGCAAAATAATCAACAGAGTCAGTGTTCGAGTGATTTCAATTATTTGCATTAGCAAACAAACGTAAGAATACATCTCGTGCCACGTCATTAAAAATGCTGCAGATGGACGCCTGTCTCGTGTTGTTCCAGGCATTATTTTACACAATCATCGTATCTATTTAACAAATTAACGTCAGTTTTTCGTGCGTGTGTCCTGTTATTGATCTCGAATTTCGTCATAACATTGTCAAAGTAGCTGTGGATATACGAGGCGATAGGCAATAGCCGAGTGGATCCGCAGACTACTTTGACAATGCTATGACGAAATTCATTGTTAATAACAGGACAGACCCATGAAAAACTGACGTCAGTTTGTTTTTTTACGAGAACAAATTGTCACATTGTCCGCTCTCGCTAGTTGACACATCGCATAAATTATAAATTCATGTGTCTGTCCGCTTAATGACAACGAAAATTAGCCAATGAGCGCACGAGAATTTCTGCAGTTATCGTAAAAAACAATTCTCGATAGTGATTGGTTCTCCGCGCGCCTATTTGTCACGTTATCGGTTGCGCGACCACGTGGGTGTCCAATTACAGGTACACAATTTGAACTTTTTGTAATAGGCGATTTGCATGATGGCGTCATTTGACTACAGCTACCAGAATCCTTCACTTTTTCTGTTTCTTATGCTAATTAGGGCAACTGTTATTTAAACCCCACAGGGAATTCAAAATTTAAATAACAAAGAAAAAACGAAAGGAATTCTGGTAGTTGTAGTCAACTGACGACAACGTGCAAATCTGCTATTTGATACCTGTTATTGGATATCCGCGTGATTCGCCCGTCAATTAAGCGCGCCAATGGCTTCCTTCGTGATGTTTCCTACAGTTCTCAAAACTTATGAAAAGCGCGCGATTACTCCCTAAGTTGTACTCCAATCCGTCCAATTACTATTACTAACAAAGCCATCTTTGAATGGTCTAGGTGGTTATTGTCAATTTTTTCAATCGATATTCCTGAAGATAGGAATTATCGACTGTTATCGATTTTGCCAATCGATAGCAATCGATAAATAAATTTTTCTGTGAGTTCGATTGTTATCGATATCGATAGTAATCAATGAATGATATCGATTGATTTCTGATATCGATGACTACGCCTGGGTTTGAACGGCTAGTAGATTTATACTAAAACAATTAGATTATTCGCTCTCGAATCCTATGCGTGATAGTTGACTCGGGCTGCGTCCTCGTCATTTACCACGCGATAGAAATATCGAGCTCATAATCTAAAACTTTATACTATTTCATAACTTATATTTAACTATTAGACTTTTATTTATGATTTTATTTGACTTATATTGAACTAATTTTTTGTCTCTCATTTCATTGTCATGCGTTTTATACACGAACCCCTGGCTCGGATTCCGGGGGCAACCTCTTGCCATGCATGACATTAACAGATTGATTGATTGAAGTTACTAAGAGGAGCAAACTTTGGTAAATTAAAGTTCAAATCAGGCAATCAAAAAACCAGCTTAATAAGAAATTGAAAACATACCTGTCAGTGAGTTCGACCCTCTTCTGACCAAAATTTTCATACTAATTGGCAGGCAAAATGGCAGAGATTACGAACCGACTTTCAGCGAATTGAAGATTCTTGTTTGGCCATATCATGGTCGGTCGGTCTTGTAAATACAGACCTCATTGTGTTTCCGAGTCTGTACTCACGACCTCGGTCAAGATTCTTCCATACAAGTACATACAGACCTCCCGCTCGATTAATGGGAGCTAAGAATTACTTCATAGAATAAACTCTGAATTGCTAGTTATAATTATTTACTGCGCCTATCAAAAACATGCGGACTCTAAAATTCAAAGCTCAACCGACGAGTCTATCTTTTTGTCGAGGGTCGAGGGTCGAGGGTCACATGTCGAGGGTCGAAGGTCGAGGGTCGAGGGTAATATTTTTTTTGAGCTTTTTTTTTCAAATGTCACAAATCGTAGGAGTCTTGAATCGGAGGCTTGTCAAATCCATTCACTACATTGAAGTGTATTTGCTTTGTCATTAACATCAAACCTAATTTGGTAAAATGTTGGCGTGACTTCCTGTCACACGATCAGTCGAACTTTTCAATAAATTTTCTGAAATACATGCCGTAACTACGCTGTAACTACTAGCTATTACAAAGGAATAGCCCAGTGGAGAAAACGTTCAAAAAAGGTTTTACCGTCGTTTGCAACTGCGGTCAATCAAAATTCAAAGTTTTGACAATCAAACTTCAAAGTTTACCCGCCCACTTGGGC